TTAATCATCATTAGAAGTTGTAATATAGAGATAAAAGGAAGACTAAAAGCGTATACCTCATAATATGAACTACATATTGACAAATAAAATTATTCAATCCAAAACAATTTACTTTAAAGAGTTTTGGAAGTAATTTTTTTTATTGGATTTGATTTATTGGGGGAAACTGAGTTAAAATTGAATAAAAAAATATGATTGAGCAAATTTAGATTTAATTTCGAGTTTGTAATAAATGAGTTAAATATAAGATTAAAATAACGTATAATAATGGTTAACGATTGATGATTATGTGACTTATATGAAATGCTCACTAAGAATCCCCAAACGAAAGTAAGAAAAGGGCTCCCGTGCAGATTTATATGAAATGCTCAGTGACAATTCTCAAATGAAGAGTAAGAAGGAGGTATGTGAACGAAACTGTACCATCTTCTCATTCTTTTAATGATACCGTTCTTTCTAAGTTAGCCTCATTGGTGAAGGAGCTCAAATATTTTCAATTAATGGATTCAAAGTCGACACAAGTAGCCATGACGGAGATGTGTGGGAGTTGAGGTGGCATGGGGCATGCCGCTCCGGAATGTCCCTAGTTTGTTGAGCCCACATTCAATCTAAACTTTGAAGGGGTGTGCTGTGATGTGAATGCGTTGCAAGGGTATCCACTCTAGAGTCAAAATAATCTGTATTTGAACACTTACAATCTCGGGAGATGGAATCACCCACACTTTTCATGGAGCAAGCCAAAGGGAACGTACGAACCACCACTTCAACCACCTAGAGAGGACTTCCAACCTCAAAACCAGGGGAATTTCCAACCTTGCCCCGAGTTCCAATGATATCAACTAGAGAAGGAGCTCAATTCTTCGCGGGGAGGGTTTGTTCCAAGAAACCCCCTTCCACCTCCACAAGAACCGGTTAAGGAGCCCTAGCAAGACTAGACGGATGTGCACTTACACAACATGGGGAAAGTATCTGCAACGTCTTGCACTACCGTGTCTACTTTGCATGGTGTTGTCAAAGGAGTGTCATCCATTCAAGTTTCCATCATACATCTTGAAGATCAAATGGGGAAACTAGGGATGTCCATAAGTGAAATTCAAAGAATCAACAAAAAAGATCGACTGTTTAGCCAAGTGTAATAAGCTCAAGTAATCACGATGTAAAAGAGTGGGAAGATGGTGGATAATCGTGTAGAGATTCCCAAGGAGAGGGTAGTTGAGGAAGTTGACAATGAGGAGGATAAGGATGAATCAAACAAAGTGGTAGAGGCAACGAAAGGTAAGAAAGTGATGGCCGAGAAGCAGAATAAATCGACGAACATAAAGCTCTATACAGTTCAACTACACTATATCAGCCACCGATCCTTTGTCCAGCCAGTTTGGCGGACATAAAGAAGAATCACCAATTCAAATATCATTTCTATATGCTTTCAAAAGTAAACATGAACTTACCTCTTTTTGATGTTATTTAGAATGTTCCGGCATATGTTCCATTTTTCAAGGAGTTGGCGTCTACGAAGAAGAGGTCTGGAGACAATAAAAAGGTTTTCATATCAGAGGTCGCATGGACGACAATCCCTTAAAAAGAGTGCGACCTCAATGGCTTTGTTAGGAAGATTAGAATGGGGAATGGGAAAGAGACAAGCAACATGCTCGATTTGCGCGCCAGTATAAATCTTATGTCGTACTCAATTTTTATTCAACTCGGGTTGGGTGAATTGAAAATGAAATATATGCCTCCACTTGGCGCATTGATCATTGCGCTATCCGAAAGAAATCATTGAAGATATTTTAATTCTAGTAAGAAGCCTCATAGTCCCGATGGCTTTTGTAGTTCTTTATGTTAGAGAGGTTTCAAACACTGGGAATGATCATATAAGCCTCCTTGTCGATCCATTCATGGCGACAACAAACACTCAGGGATGGTTGTGTGACTCTGTCAGCCTTAGAAGATACGATCAACTTCTCCATGAACGATGCTATGAATTAGAATTTCACTTTTAACCAATGTTCATATGTTAATATTTTTTATTAATTTCACAACCTTTTTCATGCTGATATTTCTAGTGATTGAAATGCGTCCCTTGATGAAGAGAAGGATCTCAACCCCGAAGAGCAGGGAATTGTGGATCTATTCAAACTTTCAAAAGAACCCGAGCCTCGAGATATGACCACCCAGTTAAAGGCTCTTCCTTCACATCTCAAGTATGCTTTTCTTGAATGAGGAGATAAGTAGCCTACTATAATTTATTCGGGACTTTCTCAAGAAAGAGAAGGTTTTCTAGTGGATGTGCTCAAGAAAAACAAAGAGGCTCTTGGGTGGAATTTGAGTGATGTTAAGGGGATAAGTTTGGCTACGTGCATGTATTGCATCATCCTTGAAGACGGTGTGAAATCCATCTGATAAGGCCAGAGACGACTTAATCATACATTTATTAAAGGAGAAATTCTCAATTTTATGAAGGAATTAATCATCTATGTCGTGGCGGTTAGCGAGTGAGTGAGTCCCATGCACGTGGTCTCTAAGAAGAGTGGGATCATGGTAGCCGAGAACAACAAGGGTGACTAGTACTCATGAGGGTCACCACGGGTTGGGCAATGTGTATTGACTTTTGAAAGCTCAACCCCACAACCAATAAGGATCACTTTCGTTTGTCATTCATTGATAAACCTCTTGAC